AAATGTATTATTAAAAGCATTTTTCTACCAGAGGATCAAAATAAATATACTGTTAACATACTTACATTTTTTTCTGATAATTCAAGAGGATGACTGGGCAAAAGTTCATTTTTCACACAAGAAAAACTGGAAATAAACATTTAAAAGAGAGATTACGTATCACTCAATACTTACAGCTTAAAATCACATCTATCAAAGGTATAACTACAATGGAATGGCACGAGGGATTTTGGGGGAGATAATAAAACTTCTGTCTCTTGACAGGAAATGATACACGTATTAAAATTCATATAACTACTCACTAAAAGGAGGGGTCAAATTTTAAAAAGTCAAATTTACTGTAAGCTAATTGTTTTAAAATACATCTATAATAGATAACTGGGGTCCACATTTCAATTCACTAGAGAAATCCCTCTAAAAAATGGTGTTAAATGATGCCTGGTATCTAGAAGAAATTTCATAAAGTATGTTTTTCACTATTACTCTTATGACATGCTTTTGTATTACATAAAATATCTAAGTCTCTTCTGCTCAGGTCCAATGTGTATTCAATATTTAATGTGTCTTTAATAACACATGTCAAGTAACATGTTTGACATTTACTGAACACCTCTATGTACAAAGTACTATGTTAGGTGATACAGAGCTAGAACCAGGCCGCTGGTCTTTATTACACTAGATATATAAAGATGACTATCTTATTGTCCAAAACAGGATTTGAGAACTGAAACTTTAAAAATCATACAATAATTTACTGATGTTTTCTTTATACTAGCGGTCACCAATCTTTTGGACCTCACGGACCACCCACAGGGGGAGCGCCACTCAGCCAGAAGCCGGGCTCATGGCTGACAAGCACAGTGGTGGTGGCGGGAGTCTCTCCTGCCTCCGCAGCAGCGCTAAGGAGCAGCAAGCCAAGTAGTAAGGAGCAGTGACCAGATGGGAAGTAAGGAGTGGTCAGTAAGGAGCGAAGCATCCCAGACTGCAAGAGGACGCAGGTCAGGCTGAGGACACACACACACACACACACGCTCCCCCCCACCCCTCACCCCCACACACACCTCGTGCGCAACAGTGCACGAATTTCGTGCACTGGGCCTCTAGTAAATACATGACGAATCAAGACTTGGTTACTGGCTACCTTATGAATTTGATTATACTATAAATCAAATTGTATCTCCAATTCCAAAGGCTATATACTGCACCTTTCACTACAAAATGGTAAGATAACAATAAGGCATTCTGTCTGTCCCCAGACACCATTAGAATGCCATTCCATTATAGTACAACTTAAATACCTTAAAATTAGATATAAAATTCAAAACACAGAATGTGGTGGGAAGGCATTATTATTTAAGCAGAAAAGCAACCTGCCAAGAAAAAGAACTAGCCGAAACCGGTTTGGCTCAGAGGATAGAGCGTCGGCCTGCGGACTGAAAGGTCCCAGGTTCGATTCCGGTCAAGGGCATGTACCTGGGTTGCGGGCACATCCCCAGTAGGAGATGTGCAGGAGGCAGCTGATCGATGTTTCTCTCTCATCGATGTTTCTAACTCTCTATCTCTCTCCCTTCCTCTCTGTAAAAAATCAATAAAATATATTAAAAAAAAAAAAAAGAAAAAGAACTAAACATAGAAACCTAAACACAGAAACATAAAGGAAACTGAGAGAAGGACCACAACTGTATGCTAAAAGCTATAAAGTGAAACACTCCAATAGTTAATAAGTTAATAAAATGGTTCTCCAAGTTATCAAGAGCAAAGTGAAGAGCCCTACTAAATCATGTTATTGGGTAATGACTCCTAGGAGGATGCCCTAACCTACTACTCTGATAAGGCACTTCTTCGGCTATAGAAAACATCTAAGCCTCCACTCCCCTCCACCCCCAAGTAAATATATATTTAGGGTCTAGCAAAATATTTATAATTTCCAGAAATAGTTTATTATAACAAAGTCAAAGTCACTATTCCCCCATATACCCTTTTCGAAGAAGATCATGACTTTCAAAAGGTCCACTTGCTGATAGCTCAGTAACTGGAATACTGTCCTTTAGCTGAGATCCAAGTCCTCTGGTATTCTATAACACAAAAGAAAAACAGTATTAAATACAAAAAAATTCAAAAAGCCCATACCAAACATCTAAGGAAAAATCATGGTTTAAGTATTAGAGAGAAAAAAATAAGGTCTCTGCCCTCAAAGAGCCCAGTCTAGATAATCACAATGAGCATTATACTAGAGCAGCGGTTCTCAACCTGTGGGTCGCGACCCCTTTGGGGGTCGAACAACCCTTTCACAGGAGTCGCCTAAGACCATCAGAAAACACATATATAATTACATATTGTTTTTGTGATTAATCACTATGCTTTAATTATGTTCAATTTGTAACAATGAAATTGGGGGTCACCACAACATGAGGAACGGCATTAGGAAGGTTGAGAACCACTGTAGTAGAGTGACACACATGGTACAAGAATATGAAATTTATGGGTAGGAAGAATTCCTGAGTTATTTCTGAATGCTGTCAGATCAAAAGGCATTCCAGGAAAAAAAAAAAGAACACGGGAAAAGGTATAAAAATATAAATATAAATATAAATGACAAAACAAGTAAGGTAGAGGTAAAGGTTCAGTTTTATTCTGAAATTGATAGAGAGCTTCTGAAGGGTTCTGGTAAATTGTCATCCTATACATTTATACAATAAAACATTTAACCATCAAATATTTACTAAGCATCTACTATATGGCAGGTACTCTGCTATATGCCAAAAATACTAGATGTCTACCTTACAGGGCTTAGTCTGATGAAGATAGATTAGACAAGCAAATAAAATGTAATAAGTGTAAAACACAAGATGCTGACTTTTCTTTGTTAATCCTCACCCGAGGATATTTTTAGAGAGTGGAAGGGAGGGAAGAGACAGAGAGAGAGAAACATTGATATGAGAGAGACACATCGACTGGTTGCCTCCTGCGCGTGCCCTGACCAAGGCCTGTGATCCAGTCTGCAACTGAGACAGTTGCTGTGGGCCGACACTCTATCCACTGAGGCAGACCAGCTAAGGCAGATGCTGACTTTATTATTATTATTTTTTAAATATGTTTTATTAATTTTTTATAGAGAGGAAGGGAGAGGGATAGAGTTAGAAACATCGATGAGAAACATCGATCAGCTGCCTCCTGCACACCTCCTACGAGGGATGTGCCCGCAACCAAGGTACATGTCCTTGACCGGAAACGAACCTGACTCTTCAGTCCGCAGGCCGACGCTCTATCCCCTGAGCCAAACCAGTTAGGGCCAGAGGCTGACTTTAAATCACTAGTTGCTCAAGTTCAATATCCCTGCAATTCTGCATAAAGATTTTAAAAAGCTACAGGTAGTTTGGTATCAGTCTTATACTGTTCTAGGAGAAACTATTCTGAGAAACCAGCTTTTTAAGTAATTTCTAAAATCATTTGTATATTTGGTCAGGTACTCTATTCTGTCCAGGGTTTCTTCGACCTACCCCCCTAGTCCAGGCTCTCACACTTGGATAACTTACACAGCACTCTACTGGGTCTTCCTGCCTACACACTCTCCCATTTTCCAATTCTGCCTATCAAGGCTTTCCTAAAACACAATCTCCCCCACAAACACTGTTTAAAAACCTTTCTCTGGCTCATCAGTCTTGTCTGAAAAATGAAATCCAAAGTCCTTGGCCTGGAACTCAAGAATGTGCACAACAGGTTTCAACTCCCTCACACAGAAAGCATGGGGTCAATCAGGAAAAGGATCTGGAATCTAGTGTGGACTGTCGTTAACCTACTACGTGACTGTAATCGACCCACACAACTCTCTGGCCCTGTTTACCCATCTTTCCAGGTACCTTCCCAAACATACGACGGGTGACTTTTCTGCACAAACATTCTCCTCCTCCCAGACTGCTTCGCTGCAGTGACAGAAGGAAAGTTTCTTTTCTGCACAAAGAAACAGGGAATTATGATCTCTGTATTCTACTGTAAGCTTCTCAATTACCTTCTGTAAAAATATCAGGATTGGTACTTGATATTTCTAATGAAGTAGCAGAGGAAAACCAATCTATGAAAAATTAACTATCACTAGATACACTGAGTGTTTTTAGAACCTCTTTACAATGATCAGCAATTTTCTAAATCTAGCCGTGGTAGTGGTATCAGAGGCTGGTGATTCAGGGGCTTTCCCAAACACCACAGCTTTTAAGTTAAAAAGAGAGAAAGAGAAAGGGGGAGAGGGGCGGAGGAGATGCACTAACAATGCTGACTAACGGGAAGTAGCAACTGCTTGCCTTTTCCCCCTCCAACACCTGGCATAACACATGCTCCCAAAAACGTTTGTAGGGTAAAGCTGAGTGTTAAGAATGCGCGCTAGAGCTGTGGGTTTGTTATGAAGTCGGTCCCCAGGGTCCGGGTGGGAGAGGAGTGTCCGGGTTCCCAAAGGTTCCCCCTCGGGGGAAGGGCGACCGGCAACGCCACACACAGAGGTTGCACCTTCGATATGTCCTTTCCAGCTCCGCGCCAACCACCAGGAAGGGGTCAGGGTCTGCTGGGGAACAGGAGGACACAAACCGAAAGAACAGAAGGAGCTGGAAAAGGGTGAAGCCCAAGCACCGGCCGCGGGGCCTGCAC